TCTAATTTAAACATTAAAACTTTGTTGGCAGCAGTCGGGAGTTTTTTTTTTGTAAAAAATTTTATTATTATTTTCTAATTTTTTTATTTTCTAATTTATTTTTTATTTTCTAATTTTTTTTTTCTAATTTATTTTTTTATTTATTTTCTAATTGTTTTTTTTTTTTTTTTTTTTTTTTTTTTATTTTTTTTTATTTTTTTATTTTTTATTTTTTTTATTTAATTTTTTTATTATTTTTTTTTTATTTATTTTCTAATTTATTGCTGTTCTTATGCTGTTTCTTCATTCTTTTGTCTCTCTGCTTCTTCATCCTACACATGTAAAAGTTTTTATTATGTAATATATATATTACAATGTATATAATATAATAATAATATATAATAAAGACACACATACACTCACCATGTGACTGCAATGTTCTATATTCTTTCCAAATATTTTTCTGCTACAATTTTTTAATTAATATAATATAATATAAATAGAGAGATAAATAAAAAAAAATAGCTAGATAGATAGATTGATAGATAGAGAGAGACAGATGACAAAGACAGATGACAACAATATCTTATATCAAATACGTAAACTTGTACGCAGTTATAATTATGGCTTTGACAAATATATTAACTTTCTTATGGCTATATAAGTTTATACATTATGTAATCACAAGTAAGTTTATATATTTGTATAGCCTTAATTATTATTACATATGTGAATAATCTTTTGTAGTAGATAATTGGCTATGTAAGTTAATATATTTGTCTGCATTGCCATAATTATTGGTGCGCTAATATCTTTGTATAACTATAAATATATTTGTATACATATTTTTAATTAATTATATAATTATTATATAATATACAAATAAGAAAAAAATAACTATATACATTTATACATTATATATGTGGATATTTATAGCAATGTGGCTACGTAGCAAATTTAATAGCAAATAAGTGGCTACGCAGACAAATATAAATTCATATAGCCATGTTATGACTACAACAGATTAATTATATTATTAATTATATTATATATTTTTATTAATTATTAATAACAAGACTTACTCGTTTTCTATTATTAATAATGTTTCTTCTTCAGATATCTTCAAGCGAGTATCTTCTTCCTACATATAAATAAAGAAACAATAAATAATAATAATAACAATATTCTAAATAAAGAAAAAAACAATAAATATAAAGAAGAAACTTACTCCTTTATTTATATCTTCTTGAGATATATCCATAATAATACACTTCACTTAATATTGTTGTTGACAATAACACGCAACAGGTGACAGCTAACCTATCCTATCAGTCCCGTCATTATTACTTCGAGATGTATATACCAATGTCACCAACATTCCCTATCCGGATACTACAACGAATCTCATTGGTGAATCATTTTTCCTCTTAGGTTCACACAGCAGCCAATGAGAGACCGTATTGACGAAATAATACTCATTTTTCACTTTTTATTATAGAATAAATAACGATAATAATACGCTTTAAACCTTCCTTGATTAATAAGAAACTTATGTTCCAAAGTTGATATAAAACTATGCAGTAGTTATCGAGAATTAAGGTCACGACCGATCCGGGCTCGATGAAACGCATACTTCCTCTCTTTTTCGCCAACCTACGGTTGGCAGCAGTCGGGAGAAAAACGAGATAAAAATATGTAAAATTATGTTTTAGATTAGATGAAGATAATTTTGTTTAAGTATGTTTGAAAGTATAATCTAATGAAAATAAAATTATATGAAGATTATGTAAATAAATTTTTAGATAATATTTTTAATACTGCTTATGTAAACACAGTTATACAAAAAATATAAATTATAAAAGGGATACAACAAGATATGTATTCATATTTTTATTAAAAATTTTTATCGTTTTACTGTCTATTTTAAGTATTTTTATGTGCTATGATTCTAACCAAAAAATATTTGAATATTATTTTAGATAAATAATATAGTAAAGGTAGTAATTTATAAAAGGTAGTAAATTATATTTACAAATTTTGACTCTAATATGTATATTGCGTAATTCTATATGTGTATTCTACATGCTATTAATAAACATTAATGTTCGTGTGTGTATATTTAAAAATTTTTTTAAATAATTTTTAGAACAATTTTTCCGAAAACATATTTACATTCAATGTTGACTGTGTTTATAAATGTTACTTGGCATGCTTTTACTTTTATGAAAATTTTATTATGATTTCAGTGTTATTTATTAAACAACCGATAAAAAATATCAATCCTGTTTGTTTTAATGACGAATATATATCAAAAATATAATCTTTATTTTAAATACAATTAAATATATTGAAGAATACACATTAAAATAAATAAGCAAAGTTAATTTTACGTTACATTTTTAGTAATTGAAAATCTAAAAGAAAATATTTAATGACTAAATCTTTGTCGATTGATACAGGCCAATTAATATTTATCTAATTAATCACACAACGTTTTATAGAATATCTGTCGTTCTCAAGTGTACTGTCAAGTGTGCGATGACCAAATTATGGTCGAAATACCGTGGTCGAAACAATGTGTGATTAATTAGACAAACATCAACAATTGCAAGTTCGGTCGAAAAATATTTGGTCTTTTAATTTTGACAGTTGAAAATTATGAATTCTTATCAGTATATTTAACGTTTACATACTATATATATATATATATATATATGTATATGTATATTATATATGTATATATATAACGGTAGAGTTTGCCAAAATTATTGAGCAATAGAAAAAAATGAAAGCGAATAATTTACTATGCAACATAAATGCAACATACCTAATATTTTTAATATTTTTTATTTATTATATATTTAAAATATACGTTCTTCGCAGAAGTGATATACATTGTGCGACAGGCGTTAATGAGACAAAATAACAAAAAGATTTACAAACCACAAGAATTACCTTTGAGATAACTTTTTTTCCAAGAACTTGTCATATGTGGCTGCATAACGAATTGCTTGCACACGCATCGAAGTTGATGATATCTTCAATAGTGAGTACATTATCGTCGAGAATGTGGCTTATCATCTCGTCTGGTAAGTACGTTATATCTTATAATCAGACATTATGAGAAACAAAACAAAAAAGGAATGTAAATTAAAGTGATTGCAATAAACTATTCGCGTAATTCCTTGCTTTTTGCAGTACAAGAAATGCGTCTGCCGATTACGAAGAGCACAGATGTGTGTTTGATGTACACGAGAGACGTTTTCCACACTGTAGACGTTTT